GCTCAGCCTGTACTCTCCTGTCAGGTGTTTAAGACCAGGTTGGTCAAAACTGACCTTGTTCCTATCTATCCTTAAGAGTCAGCTGAGGGCTGGGGTTGTGGACTCAGCAATAAAATGCTCACCTAGCAGGTGTGAGGCCCTGGGTTTGATCCTCCGGTCCACAAAAAAATAAATATATAAAATAAAGTTACTATATCCAACTACAACTAAAAAATAAATATTAAAAAAAAAAAAAGAGTCAGTGAGATTCCTCAGAGATTACTCTTGGGGACGTGTGAGAAGTCTCTTGGCTCCTTTAACCAGTGATGCCATCTTCCAGGATGGGCCAGTGTCTTGTTAACCATACGTGACTTCTCTTGGAAGCATCAATGATACTTCCATCTCCAATGACCATCTTCTTTGCAGAATGTGCACTGGTTGGCTTCCATGGTCCCTTCTTTTTTGGGGGAGAAGATATCTTTTCAATTGTTTTTCTATTTTTTCTCTAGGGTCCTCCTGATCAGCAGATTGGGGGACTCATGAGACTTGCAGGGCCCAAAGAGGGGTTCCTTCATTTTCTGGATTCTGGCTTAGGGCCAAAGTAAGGGCAAGGCCCAAAATGTTGGCTGCATTTTCCTCAGTCCTTTTACTTCCTTGACTTTGGACTCCAAGTGTTTGGTTTTAAAGACCAAGCAGATTAGTTTCACCAATCTTAAAGTGGGAGTAACAGCTTATAACTTTAATATCTATGATTTTACAGTTACCTATTGAAAGGACACTTGTAGAGTCCACACAAAGTCCAAAGACCACACTATACACAAGAATCTCATGCAAGAGGGTCAGGGAAGGTTTCAGGTGGGGGGCAGAGTCTCTGGAGTCGAAGGAATTGACTATGAGACATAGATCTCTGTCTTGGGCATCAGGGGCTGGGAGAAGAAGTAGGCAACAGTTCTAAAATGTACAAGGAAAATACTATATGGGCAATGACCAAACAGACTCCATTTTGCTGAGACTCCATACCATATAAGAAATGCTTCTTCCATGGGAAAGCCCTGCCTCTGTACATCAGTTGCTTAGCATAGCATGTTTGGCAACACAAAATGGCAATTCTTATACAAAGTAAAAGTGTTCTCTCTTTGTTTCCCATTTTTCTTGGACTATGTACCCTGTCAGAGATTGATAGTCTAGATGTTAGTAACCATTCTTTAACTTGTACTCAACTAGAGACATTTTGGCCCCTTTTCTGCTTATGATTTTAGATCTCATGATGTTTGTTTATGGTTTTTGAATCACAACAACAGCCACTTATAATTAATATGGTTTTGAACTATAAAAGGTATACTCAAACCCAAGAAGGGGTTGAAGGGTGTAAACCACACACTGGTGAATAAAGATTCTATCTCCTGCTTTAAGATTGACTTGGTGACATATTGCAATCTTGCCTTAACAATATAAAATGAAATTAACAAAGAAAAAATACTTGGGTAATAACTATGAACCAAGAAAAATTATTTTTATAATCTTAAACTTTACTTCATTATATATTATATGCTCTTTTTATTCTGAGATCTCAGTAATCTTTATAACAAAATTTGATCTTTTGAATACAACTCTAAATGAGCTCAAGTCTAGCCTAGTTTGGAGCCATTCTAACATGGAGTAAGGTGGGAGGCATAGTCTTACCTCAGTTATGGTGGGGCTCTTGACAGATAACACAGTACAACATTACATCTAAAACATGAATCAAAC